TTGTTTTTGGTGTATTTTGTTTTGTTTTTAGTGCATTTTGTTTTGTTTTTCGTGTATTTTGTTTGGAAGTCGGTTTTGTTTTTTTTTAAACATTACAGATAATCATTCTTTTAATATCTTCGCATACTCAAGGCAAAAAAGGGCTTGAAAGGTGGCACGCTTACAAAGGTAACCCCTCGTGCAAATCCCTACACGCTTATTAATTCTCGCAGTCAAAGTGTTGGCGGTTGTGTTGAGATGTGCAGATTGAATTGAAGTGAATCACTTTGATCTTGAGATGGATATTCGCATTATAACAGTGGTAATATACCAAAATGTATTGTTTTAAATTATTTTGTACGTAATCTTTTAATATTTGCGCCGATTCTATGAACGAACGAACGGAAAAGAAGAAAGATGATGTAATCGTAATAATAATTGTAAATAAATCGAAAATAATATTTACAATTATTATTTTCGAACACATTGCCAAAAAACCATTGCTATAACGGAACTTATTAAATTCTGCCCAAAATTTTAACTCATAAAACGGTAATAATTCAATCTCGGAACACATTCTTAACACCCGGATAAAATGAATTACAGGAATATTAGCGAAATAACACAACCGAGCCCAATTTTATTATGTCTGGCCGCACATTTATCAAATGCTCCCCAAGCAATTCCATTCATAACATTTGCATCGAATTTAAAATATAATCTGTAACAGGGTCGTTACGACGGACTGTTATCATCCGCACACAACCCTCATTCTTGTTTTGGTTTCATTAAATCACCGAGGCGAGCAAATTTTGTGACAGATAAATATTTGCGACTCTTTATGCAAACACTTTATTGAAAACCCCTCGCTCGATTTATTGGATATCGTTTATTTCTCTAGCGTACATCGTCCCCTCGCCTTTCATGGGGGACATGTTTCTGATCGCTCGAATTTGTCACCTGCGAATAATAGACCATTGCACATGGCCGCTTTTATTGAGGCGCGTAATACGTGTACCTTTATTGTTAGTGTGAAATAGTGTAGGTGACTTTATTGCTTGCTTGTCTAAGCAAAAGTGAACTATTTAAAGAAAAAAGTTAAATAAGCTTTCTTTCCTCGCTATGTTAAGCTTCTATTCCAAGTTGTGATAGCGATATTAAACGTAAAAAAAATAGGTACAAAATATATTCATTTCATCACATTCTCAGACATGCGGACCTTTATTTCGGTTATTTATTTCCTCGATTTGATTGATGAAGGTAGAATGTAATTTTGTCTACAATCTGGAAAATTTGTTTTCGTTGTTTTATTTCTGACAATATTATTTATTTCTTTCATGTTTTTCATTTTCAATATTGCAACTGAGACTGAAAAGATTTATTATCGTGCCCCCAGGCAGTGATGCATTTGAATCGCACGACTGGACGCGGCACGTCGGGTCACCGAGCTAGTCATTGCGTGTCGCAGAGCACGGGGCGTTCGTGCATTGAACAAGCAAACGCCGCAACAAAGGTTATTAATATACGATGTTTATGAAATCAACACTTCGTTACTGCCTATAACATTTATTAAAATTATAGTTATTAAGTAAATTAGCGTTCGACGCTAGAAGCTTAAATATATTGAAGTAACTTTTGTAAATAATTCTTTCAAGCAATATTGCACTGTTACAAACATTTGCACTTTGCATCGGACATTGACAGACGTTTCAATAAGTAAATACGTCGCGGTCGTGTCAGCAGCAGATTTCTGTTTATGACTGGTGTCCATTGTAACGACAAATGTGCCCTCAAACATTTTGAACATAGACGATAAAACAATGAATGATTTATTCCATATTGCATTGAAATTTATACCGTATTCTCTGTATTGCGTGTATTAAATGCTACCATTGATTACCGTATTTGTCCACAACAGTCGTCTTGTTAGCAAGCTATGGTCACATTAAAGGTTTCCAGACGCGGCCACGGATAATGGAGTTAATCCGTGATGCTAGCGCTACGACATTTGACATGGCGGGAGACGACAACCCCTCGGCCCCACGATTACTGACACCCTTCGACAATTACGTGGGCTTTACGCAACTCCACTAACGGTCTGTTATACAAAGCTTAAGTGAATCGTGTGAATACGTCTCTGAGTGCCGGGATAGGAGAATTAATTGTTTAATTAATTACTATTGTATTTTCATGTTAAAATTGGTCGGAAGGATGATCATTAAGCGCGATACACATGCAATCTATTTTAATATCAAAATGTTGTCATCGACACAAAAAATACTTTAACGTGCTATAGATTCGATTGAGACAGAATCCGAAGACAGTGATATCATACTTATTTTGATATCCATACTAATATTATAAAGAGGAAAGATTTGTATATTTGTATTTATTCGATTCACGTAAAAACTACTGGGCCGATTTCAATAATTCTTTCGCCATTCAAAAGCCACATTAGCAGGGAGTAACATAGGCTATAATTTTTATTATTGTTTAATTTCGCGCGGACGAAGTAGAAAAAAACAGCTAATCAAACTAATATTATAAATGCGAAAGTTGATAAAGCCGACGGATTTCGATAAAATTTGGTATAGATTTAGAGGATAGTCTGATCTGGAAGAACACATAGGCTACTCACTTTTGTGTTTTTTTTTAATTACACGCGGACGGAGTCGGTGGCGTAAGCTAGTGTTAAATATAAATCTTTAGGTTTTAACAACAACCCAGGATTTATTCTATTTGTAAAAGCTTTATTAATAAAGTCCCTATTCCCCAACGGGGACAAATATCCCTGTTCCCGCGGCGAGATAATCACTTCGCACGTACGGATTACGGACATTTAGAGGCAGGGATCGCGGCCCTTTATTGTTAATGGTCCGTTCAAAGGGACACCGCATAGGGATTACACGCGTCGAATCTCATCACGTCGCTAAATTGTAACGACTTTGATATATATGTGCACTACAATAAATTCATAGCCGTCACCGGATTCCGGGATTAAGTTTTATTTGTGTCAATAAATAACTAATGTTTTTGGATAGAAATATATATTTCCGTTATCAAGAAAAAATAACTTATTTAATTGAGATTTATTACACTCCAAATAATAACCTAATCTTACCTATCCGTTTGATGTGAAGCCAAAACAACATCAAACTAAAAAATAATAATGTCAACAATACATAACGAATGAAAACTATGAATGTGTTTACTAGCTATAAAATATGATTATTATAAAGCATGCGAGTTCTTCATGAATATTTAAAACGGGAATAAAACGAAGTAAAGACACTAGGAATATCTGCAAGCTTTTATTCTAAGCACTATTTAGTTTATTTTTTAATATCGACGAAGATAATTATTTGGAAATAACTGAACCACATAGAAATGTTTTAGTCATAAATCATAGTTCAGTTAGGGTGAGGGTTAAAAAGGAAAAATTCGCAATTTGTTTTCGGTGTGAGCAAGCGCGGAGAATTGCTCCAGCACGAGCCATTCACGTCCAATCCGGTGCATATTGCGTTCGTCAAATCAAGGGGCAGAGACAATGAACTTGAACCCTCGCCAGCGCCCTACGGAAGTGCAACCAATGTACTTCTTAACAAAATATTTGTATCTCAAAACAATTGAGTTCGAAAACTAGGGTTAAAACGTTCCTCCGTAAAATGAAATAACCTCTTTCTTCCTCTATTTTATACAATAAAAATAATTGTTGAAGTAGAAAGTAGACGACGACTGAAAAACAAATTGTTAATTCTAAAGTTTACTTGAATTAAGTACACATGTAACTTTTTAGACGAATTCTTAATATTAAGGAGTTGTATAAAATCACAAAGAGGCGTGTCCGTAACGTTCTTCGATTGCGTTAAAGTTATTGCTATTTGATGTTATGTTGGCGCACGTCTGATTGGTTGGTGCATTAGAATGTAAAGAGGCACACCTCGCCGGCCATTACGATGCTCTAAGTGGAATTGCAGCTGAAATGGATTGCAAACTCGCGCCGACAGCGTGATCCATTACTCTAACTCCTATTATACGATACCAACTTTAACGATTCCTATATTGCTTTGTATGCAGTTTGATGACTTCTTCCTTCCGTTAGTGTTCATTTTATGAGTTTAGTTTTATATCCGCATTGCTAGGATTTTTAAACTTAATTTTATTCGAGTCTTCTTCTACAGTTTAATACTTTTATATTCAACAATAAAATCTTTCTAAGTGTAATGGATAATAACGTTAAAGCTTCCAATTTCAAGTAAGTAGCAGGAGATGGGGTTTAAGGTGACAAGGCAGGCAGGGAGAGAGGAAGGTTAAAGGATTATAAGCAATAGTGCCGCATCGGTCCGTTCGTTCCAAAAAATCTATTGTTGTTTATTATAATAAATAGTTTACCTTCCAGGGTGTAGGCGGTACGCTGCGGCTGCAGGCCCTGCGCGGTGCTGACGCCGGGATGCGACGTGTTGTGCAGCGACAGCGCGCCCAGCAGATCTAGCTCGGTGGCTGCACACAAATACCGACTATTAGATAAAGGTAAAATCACACTACTACCTTTTATTTTCATGCAAGTACAAAAAAAATACTATTATTATCTCTGTGTTTTTTTAAAGAAAATGAGATAGATGGCAAGGTGCTACGATAATATACTTATTTACAAAACATGTAATTAAGATTATCAACATTCTAATAACTCCAGCAAACATTAGATTCTATTTACCTAAATAACTGTAGTTAATACGCAAAGCGAGAAATATTATTTCATAAGTATGCAAGGTCAAAATAAAGAAAACGTCTCGCACGAAATTCACAAAATGTATGGTAATTTATGTATCTAAATCTAATAATAATAAATAGCCTTAAATTCCTATGAAAAATTCCACACCAAAAGGCAATATGTACATTCAAAACTCATTTAACATCATCAATTACGGATAAATTCATAAAATACAGCTTTATTTTAGTGCGTACTAAATGCCGTTTGTTTGTGAACCATAACCGATATAATCATTTCGCCGAAGGAATGAATATTTACGAAGTAATAAATGAATGGTGGCCTACATTCAGACAATCGATATGTAGAGGACTCCGAAAAACCAAGACACAGCCTCGACTATCGATCGAAAGACGGCGCACTTGAAACATGTAACAGTAGCATTATTTATAGCTTACACACTTTCAGAAAGAATAGAGACGATTAAATATTCATTACTTATTCGATTACTGTTTTCGTAGAGACGTCACTATCCATTTCTAAATTAGAGTGTAAAAATAATGGAATGAAGGTAAGGTTCCTTAACCGTTTATAATACATCAGTTTACGAATGTTACCAAGTTGTAAGAAATCACACACTGTGTGTATTAGTCGGATCTTATGACAATTTATCTTGAACATGATATTAATTTAAGTATTTGAATAAAAACCGATAATGCGTAACAAACGTTTTGCCATTACCATTTGAAGAGTGACAAATATATTCATGTCATAAACAAATTACCCTACCAAATAAGAATGATATAGAACTCGTATTACTTAATATGCAGTGTAAATCTGTGCGACGTGGCGGGGTTGACTAAAGCATCATCTATCAGCAGTAACCCGGTCACGTAGCGCTACAAAGCGCCGTAGCACAACTTCGTAGACTTTAACTAGGCTACGAGAGATTACTTTGACAAAACTATGTTATTTTGTTGTAATGTAGGTAGAAATAAGTTTTGCATAACAATGTTATCAGTGTTATAATCTATGGAAACTATAACATTAATGTCAGATATTGTAGAGGCCAGGGAAATGATATTTGTTTCGGTATTTATAATATCAAACACTTTTTTTTTCAATGTGTATATTTTCGAGAAATCCACTAAGAGTTTTTAAAGGTTAGTTATGAATAAATGACGTCTATGTTTTTTAACCATTGCTTTTCCATTTATTTTTGAGTGACACACTTATTATAAATGGCTATTTTTATTAAAGCTTTAACATATTAAATTTTAGTTTACTAATAGTCTAAAGCAAAGTATATGAAAGAACACCCTACTCCCCCACCTCCTCGCGCAAATCACGACCAATTTACAGACGGTTTAAGGCAATCCATCACAGAAACGATCCATCTTATGTCTACATTGTCCAGACATTACGGTAGCAGAGGAAGAAATTACTTAAAATATACCGCGAACACATTGCTATCGCGCTTAATTCGCACTTCAATTAGAAAGCGTCGTGGTTTGTGTGGAGTACCATTCAGTCGTTGAAGCGCTGTCTACAATTTGTGACGCCTCTGCTCTGCGACAGATATAACTAGGGATGACACATTCCTCTTTTTTTTTTGTGATGTTGAACAGTGGGTTGATATTACAAAATAAAACATCATCGCAAGAAGAGTCTTGTTAACGTAAAAAAATAGTTTACAGTTTACATTTTCAGTTTCTGAATTGATTTAACCAACATAACTTAACTTACAATATCAAAATTGATATTTCATTTATTTTTAGTTAATATGTAAATTGAATTACTTGAGGCAGATGAAATCAGCAACAGCTATAACAAAATGAGCTGTAAATCAGTTATCGTGACGGCATTAATCGGTAGTATGAAGAAGTTTCTCCGAACGATGAGCGGATAATAAAGTGAGACAGCCCTGAGGGTGGTCCGTCGCCGGCTCGTCTGCCTCCCCGGCCTCGTAAACTGCCGCTGCGGCGCACTGCTAGCTTCCAGCGTATTGTAAGCCACGCTCCGTGCTCCACGCTTACGAGCCACCTCTATTGTGCTTTATAACGTTGTTAAATGGGTTACGTAAGACTGACAGTACAATGTAAAACATTTTCATCGTCAATTTAACCGCAACTTTCAGGTAAAAATGTAGTTTTATATTTTTCCTACACGGTTGTAAAGTTCACAGGTGAAATTTACCAGTTTCATGTATTGTAGTCAGGTTTTAATACATCCTTTTTCTAAATTAACAAATTATTTGTTTATTGAAACACACGTCTTTCTTTTGTAGTTAGTTGTTCTGGTAAACAGAAGAAAAGGTACAATGATATACAGCCGCCCATTAGTAGCTACATATTTGTCATTAAGATGATTACCATGACCCTCTATACTTGAGGGACATCGGAGGGTATTAAAGAACATGAATATCAATATTATGAGTTAAGCATGACTTGCCTCTTATAGATATGGGCAAAGGGCCGTATCCGTGACGTCGTTTTCGTCCATAATGCCGTCCGGTTACAGCCTGAAAGCCATAAAGTACGTTCTCCACGCGATCGTAAATCCTTCCAGCCTTTACTATACATACGGCACTGAAGATATATTAAACGTTTATCAGCGCCATTAGCAACGTTAATAGATTTCTAACGTTTTTTATGTTAATTTATGTTTTTGATCATTCCTCTTAGCTAATTAAGAAATTTTCCTTCGTTATTTTTTCACTGAAAATATTTTATCTTTACCCAATACTAAATTGCGTATTCACGCAATATTATAAAGTGTAAACGTTTAAAATTTAATTAATTAAGCGTAATCAATCTAATAATACATCAAAATCATGTCCGACGTTGTTACTTGTAACGTTTCTGAAGTTTACTAATCATCCAATGAGTTGTGAAATCCGTTGTCTGCAAGCGTCGGGTCATTAATTAATGACTGATCTGACAAATTGCTTCTTAAAGACCGGCTTTGTGTTAAAATAGACGAGATATTTAAACAGATGTTTGGATAAACTCGATGAAATAAAACATGTAAAAACGAAAAGATGGGAATTTCCCTTTTGCCTGCAAAACCTTGGATTAGTTTGATAAAATACAATACACAACTTGTAGATTTCCTTTTCAAAAAGGCAAATGCTTAAGTTGTTTTTGCCACGTGTTATTTATGCACAACACGTCTATGCAAATGCAATACGAGAGAGGGTTCTTGATTTAATAGAATCAAATCTCTGCCTATCTTCGAGAGTCAGTCAACATAACTTATTAGTTTGTTATGCAAAAGCGGGGATTTTTCTTTGAGAAGACAAATATTTGTTGTGTTGACTGAAAAATATGAAATCTAAATATAAGAGCTCATAAACTTATGAGTTAAGAGAGATAAATACAAAATAAGAGGTAGACATTTATTGCAACACTTTGAAAAAAATACTGCTAAAAGCTGAGCCTACAAAATAAGATTGTTCTTATCTAACACATAATTTACCCGTCTGATATTTCAAAAAGTTTGCTGACTCGATATCGTAGAGTTAACCCTTGACGTGTAAAGGGAGGGTTTATTTTCCGCGATGCAAGAGTAAACAAGTGTTCATAGTAACCCGATGCGGTGTGTAATGGACTCATTTGCTATCAGATTACGTGCGATCATTGAGCAATAGCGGTGTAAGGGTTAATAACAATTAATTGAAGACCCTTGGCTATAAAAACGTCTTGACACGTGGCGTGCATGCTCGACCGCACCGGCCATATGCCATGTGCTCAGTTGACCGATGATATTTTATGATTATCTTTAGTTTTCTTATCAATATGATTACGAGGTGGCTTACGACGTAGATAATAGGCAATTAGTTTTTGTTCTACAAACGAATAATTATTTTTAATAATAAAACAAAGAAAATGTCTTGATACTAATGTGATAATACCGTTAAAACAGGTTTTAAATTTTTTAATTTTCGATAAGGACGAGAATTTAGTTACGATACTTAGCAATATTAAACCAAACTATAAATTTTTGAAGATAATATAAAAAACATTAAGCATTGAATTCATAGAAGTTGATTTCTTATTTTTTCTCGTGTCTTAAGTGTACAGTGCCTCAAGTAAAGACATGTAAAGTTGATCGCGTGTAGGGTAGCGTAGGGTCGCGACATATGCCGCGCGTGCCGTACCCCGTATCGCTTCATATTACTGTTTTTGCCAACGTTTTAAGTCTTCCAAGTAATAAAAATATTCTCGGGAAATGATGTACGGTACTTTGACCCGACCTTGATAGTTTATTGCCAATAATAGTACAGTGAGTGGGATGGGTTCCATTCTTTAACGATGAAGCTAACAAAATTTTGCCTTCCTGCCTTAATCATTATAGTTCTTTATAATGTTAAAATAGTTTACAAAAGTACAACGTATGTGAGTTCCTAGCGGTCACTTAGCATAATTTTACGCAACTTTATACACGTTAATGGAATGTTATAGACACGAAAGTATGTCAAATAAATCGGGTGATATTTAAAAGAACAGGTATCTCGAAAATTGGAATCAGCAAAATATAAATCATACGATATGATGCCATTCACGTGCGAGATGCTGACAGATGCACAATTTGACGCCTTACATTATGATTACAAAACGTTTCTTGTGAATTTCGCGGTTTTCTAAGAAAAGGTAAACAAAAGGCCATATACGTTTAAAACAATGGTAATACTAACTCAGGCGTTTAACAAAACTAATTACAAAATTATGTAGTTATTTCAATAACTTTATGTGGTCTTGAATTGATAGAATTTGAGTATCAAAGCTTTTTC